TGTTTTTTTTTTTTTTTTTCCCGTTCTGTACTACCGGTTGTCCAAGGCTCGGCAACAAAGTCCGAGGCTCGACAATGAGAGGGCTACCGGCAGCCTGAGCCACGGGCCTTGACAACAGGCAGGTACTGGTGGTTTAACGGCAACGCCCAGCGGCCGATGTATGGGCCAAGTACTGTTGGTTTAAACATCCAATACCTTTCCCAGGCAAAAATAAAATCAACGCCGGTTAACACAGAGGCCGGGGCGCACCGGCCAGATACATCCCAACTGCTCAGCGCATATATGGGAAAGGTACTGATGTTATGCGGGGAGCGTATGTTCATACTGCAGCCAACATGCAGGCGTGGGCTGGAAATTTTTTTTTCCCTTTTTTTTTCCCTTTTTTTTCTCTTTTCTTTTTGTTTTTTAATAGGACAAAGCTCCGATCTATTTGTGGGGAGCAGCACGTGCTGGGAACCGGCCCAATGTCCCATATGGAAATTTACATAGGATCTTGAAAGTTTGAGATACCCGGGCCATTACCCGGCTTTGGCTAAGAAATGTTTGAAGAGGCCTGAATGGGCGTGGAGGAGGGGCACGGTGACGGGCGCTCGGTAGCGCTCCGCAGCGTGCTGCCGGCGGCGAAACCGTCGGCGCTCTCTCGTCATTTCCCTGCAGTCGATGTGGGGGGAGGATGCGGCCACCACCTCGCGTCAGTTGTTGACGCCAACCATCGCCAAGCACTTTGGAGGTATAGGAAGCCTGTTGAGAGCCCCAAGGAGAGGTGTAACACCATGTAACCGAAGAGCATTGACGAGCGCCTTTATTTGGCGCCCGTTTGGAAGTTAATTATGTATGGGCGGAGGCACTGACTCGCTGAATGATTGGAAGAGAGTGGGGTAAGGATGGTGGGAGAACTCGCATCAAGAAGTACCGATGGTCGGTAGTATCATGGAGCGCTACGGGATATAGTCCGGTACGGAGCATGTCATTCGCAGTATAAGGAAGGAGAGCCGTGCTAGACATGCTGAGATGCTGGTTTGAAGCGGTCCTTCCCATCCACTGGCGATCCTGGCGGCACCCTACGTTGGGCGCAGTGTGTTTCTCGAAGGAGGACGGGTTAGTCTTCAACAAAGGAGGAGTTCTAATACCGGGTTCGGTTCTCAGGGGCCAGTTTCAACGGATAGCGGGAGCATGTTGATGGTAAAGCCCTCCCCTCAAGGACTAAACTCATCTCTCACATATCTCGAGTAGGCAAATCACACTTTCTTTGTCCGATAACTTGAGCCTCAGGTTGGATAGCTAGAAGGTACCTTTCTTGCATCTTGTTTTAGGAATATGTGAATCTGGAGTGCTGAGTATTTATAAATAGGTCCTCCCTTCCCCCGATCGACACGCAGGTGGGTATTTACCTACCTCGATAGAACAGAAGCGGTCAAACCCTCGGTGCCTCTCCTGAGCGGTCAAATCCCCGGTGCCTTTCTTGAGGCGTGTGTGATTTGCAAAGATGAATCTCCCTCCTGATCCGGAGGAGGAACGGGTCAGGGAGATGGTCCAGAAATGCATCAAGGATGGGATTTTCCCCAAAGGTTTGGATCATGGAACATGTGTAATAGAAGGCCGGACGGCAAGAATTACACTCAACCCTAGAATCGATGAATGTGAGTGTGCGCGCATGTGTGTGTGTGTGTGTGTGTGTGTGTGTGTGTGTGTGTGTGTGTGCCGGGGGGGGGGGGGGGGCCC